AGAGTTCAAGCCCCACGACTGACAAAAAAAAAAATATTATAAAGGTGATGTACAGAAAGGTTACCATTACATAAATCAGGTAAAAAGTAAATTTTTTTTTTCCAGGTGTGGGGCCTGAACTCTGGGTCTGGGCACTGTCCCTCAGCTCTTCAGCCAAGGCTAGCACTATACCACTTAAGCCACAGTGCCACTTCTGGATTTTTCTGCTTATATGGTGCTGAGGAATAGAACCCAGGGCCTCATGCATGCTAGGTAAGCATTCTACTACTGAGCCACCTTCCCAGCCCTGCCCCTGTACATTCTTTTTGGACAGTATCTTCACTGTCTCCCAATTTTTCCCTCCTGTACCCACCTACAAGTTTTATAGTTCATTTTCAACATAGTGTCAAGTGAGAACCACTGCTGCATTTGTTCACCCTTTGAACTTCATTTTTGATTCAAACTTCTTCCCTGGGACCTCACTCTCATATTAGTTTATGATGCTGAGTATCTTAGTAATGAAACTTCTACGTGGTCTTTTTTTTTTTTTTTTGGGTCTGGTCGTGGGGCCTGAACTCTGGGCCTGGGCGCTGTCCTTCAGCTCTTCAGCTCAAGGCTAGCGCTCTACCACTTGAGCCACAGTGCCACTTCTGGCTTTTTTCTTATATGGTGCTGAGGAATCGAACCCAGGGCCTCGAGCATGCAAGGCAAGTGCTCTACCACTGAGCCACCTTCCCAGCCCCTGGTCTTTTGTTTTAGTTTATAAATATGATTTGCCCTTTGAAAACTACCTGAGTTTCAGTCCTTTTTAGTGCCATCTATTGTATGCTGATTATTGGTCCTATTTTGTTATTTTAATTATTCAAAGAAGCAGGAAATATATACAACTTTACTATCAGTAGTACTAATAATAGTTAATAAGAGAAAATGTTTATTGAACATTGGCTGTATGCCAGACACCATGGTAAGTGCTCAATGGTTAACAATATCTAATTCTCACAGAATTTCATTAGTTGTAATACTGTTATTTTAATTATAAACAAGGAAAATGAAACTGCCACACTCACTAGTTTATTGTATATTAGGTAACTAGCAAATGGTAGAACTGATAGTAGAGTTTTAAACCCCAAACCCAAACTGATGAAACAGCAGTTTCATCAGCTCAGTCTACTTGCCCCTCTAAACCAAATGAGTAGACATGATGAAGGGCAGAGAAAAATTTATTACATGGTATGGGTATGCCATGGAAAGATAGCATTCAGCCCATCATCATCTGTCTTTGGGGTACAGACATGAGCTTTAGGATTTATAAAGAATGAGGGTAGGAGGAGAGAGGTATGCATAATTATTAAACAATTCTGGTCAAAGTATGACTTGGTTGATTACTATTTCAGTCTTGCTTTGATATGGGTTCTGGAGAATTTATTGACCTATTTACCATTGACTGTGTTGTCTAGAAGATGGTCTGTATTGAGAAAGAGCTAATGTTCATAAGGGGTAGTTTCAGTCCCTTGTCATAAAGATGTTATTGATCAACCTTGTCCTTCTCAGATTCTATGGCTTGAAGTAGATATACATACAGACTGAAGGGAAGATGCCAAGTGTTTCTTCTGTTTTTAGTTATTTAATGGGCCCAGTAAAAGCAGTTTTCATGCACTGCTTTCAGACTCCAGATTCAAATCCAGGTTGTCTCCCTCTAGATCAAGCAGAAAAATTCTCCCTTATCCATTACTCTGGAAATGAAGATTTATGTGCATATGGTGTATTTTTTTTTTTTTTTTTTTACCATCTTAGGGCATGAACTCAGGATGTGGGCTCTGTCCCTGAGCCTCTCTGTGCTCAAGGCTAATGCTCTATCTAGTGCTCTGAGCCACAGCACCACTTCTGGTTTTCTGGTGGGTAACTGGAGATAAGAGTCTCACGGACTTTCTGGCCAAAGCTGGCTTTGAACTGTGATCCTCAGATCTTAGCCTCCTGAGTAGCTAAGATTACAGGCACGAGCCACCTGCAGCAAGCTAAGATTTATGTATATTAAAGTTCTAGTTTACACTAATTAAAACCAACACTAGGATTAGCATTTTCCTTTTGGTATATCAGTGACACATAATCATAAACTCAAGACAGTTGTTTTAAGTTAGTCCAGAAAACTTTTAATTCATTAGTGTGGTTTTGCAAGTTGTAGAAATGGAAACATTCCATAAGTGATTTTGATGTTTTTCATCCCTTTTGCTTTCCTCCTGTGGGAGTTACTGTGCTAATGATGGCAGTGGATCAAAGGGAGTAAAACATAAGAGAGAAAACGCTGTTGGAGCCAGGTGAGTAGAACCCCCTTGAGAAATTTACTCGTGGATGATGAAAAAGCAGAACCTAGCTTATGAAGCAGGAAGGTTTAACTGTCAGAGAAACTGAAGCTTCACATCATATTATGTTGAATAAGAACCAGTCTGGGGGCTGGGATGTAGCTTAGGGGGTTTGATTCCTCAGTATCACGTAAACAGAAAAAGCCAGAAGTGGCGTTGTGGCTCAAGTGGTAGAATATTAGCCTTGAGCAAAAGAAGCTCAGGGACAGTGCACAGGCCCTGAATCTCAAGCCCCAGGACTAGCCAAAACAATAACAAAGAAACCAACCAACCAACCAAAAACACGAAAAAAAAAAACAAAAAAAACCCCACCACACACCAAACAACACCAACAACAAAAACCCCCACAAAAAGTCTGTATTACTCTCTTCCCTGCCCTCATTCTCTCCATCCCTACCTCCCTCCTTCCTTCTTTCCCTCCCCAGCAATATTAGAGGGATTAAAACAGAATTTAAGTTCAAATAATAATGCAAATGTCACTGAGTGTGAACATGAAACTATCTCTTCAAATAGGACATAAAGCTTTGTAAGTATGTAGTTTCTATTTTTTTTTGTCTAGAACTGAAAGGTTTTGCTCATTGCTGTAAATCAATGCCCTTGTTGATGCTGATGAAGTTTCCAGTCTAAATAAAAATAAAAGTGAAGCCAGGCACTGGTGACTTATGCCTGTAATCCTGCTACTCAGGAGGCTGAGATCTGAGGATCACGATTCAAAGCTAGCCCGGAAAGGAAAGTCCAGCCTGGGAAGGAAAGTCCGGTGAGACTCTTATCTCCATAAACCACTAAAAAAACCGGAAGTGGTTGAGCTGAAAAGCTGAGGGACAGTGCTGAGGCGTAGAGTTCAAGCCCCACAACCGACAAAAAAAAAAAAAAAAAAAAAAAAAAAAAGCGGGGCTGGGAAGGTGGCTCAGTGGTAGAGTGCTTGCCTTGCATGCCTGAGGCCCTGGGTTCGATTCCTCAGCACCACATAAGGAAAAAGCCGGAAGTGGCGCTGTGGCTCAAGTGGTAGAGCGCTAGCCTTGAGCTGAAGAGCTGAGGGACAGCGCCCAGGCCCAGAGTTCAGGACCCACGACTCCCCCCCCCCCCCAAAAAAAAAACAAAACGACAAAAAAAACGAGAAAGAATGTTTATTTGCTGTTTCAGAAATTTTGCTTGGAAATTTAGCACAGTAATACGTTATTTATGAAGCAGCAGGCTTGAACTCAGGGCCTGGGCACTGTCCCTAAGCAACTTTTGCTCAAGGGTAGCACTCTACCACTTAAGCCACAGTGCCACTTCCGGGTTTTTTTTCTGTGTATGTGGTACTGAGGAATCGAACCCAGGGTTCTATGCATGTGCTAGGCAAGCACTCTACCACTAAAGCCACCTTCCCAACCCATGAAGTAGCAGGTTTTGTGTGGAATACTTTCAATTGAAAGGTGAGAGGCACTAGGTTTCAAGGTCAGAGTCATGTGAAATTATAAGCAGAAGGCAGAGTTTTTTTCTTCTTAAAGTCAATCACATTTGTTAATAAAACCAAATAAACCCGCAAACCTTCAGAACCCTCTACAAAGTAAGTTGGAGAGGGTACAGTTGAGCCAGACAGGGATGTTTCAGTGGGGACATTCCCCAGGATATTTCAACAGGTTCAGGAGGACAGTTTGTGGATACAGATGTGCTAATTCCGGTCTCTTTCTCTCTCCCCTTCCCCCACACGATAAGCGAAAGTTCTCCCTCTGATCACCTCTCCTTGGGCGGCGACCGTGTCCAGCTCACCTCAAAGTTTATACAACTTAACTCAAAGTTATTGGGGTGTCGGGTACCAGTAAATGTTTCCTGAATGAGTGAAGAGCTGCGGGTAGGGTCTAGCGCAGGGCCAGATTCTGATTTGAGATTCAGAAGCGGTTGAGCTCCTTCCCGCCTCCTCTGTCCCGCTCCCGACCCCCTTCCTTCCCACTCCTCCTCCGTCCCCCGCCGCTAAGCAAGTGGCTGCTCAGTGCTTTGTCGCAGTGGTGCCCACAGTGGAGGAGCTTTCTCTAACGATTTATGACTGGCCATCTGCAGACAGAGCCTCGCTAGTAGCGAACCTCTGGAGAGTCAAGTATTGTCGCGAAACCGACTTCAAGCCAGCATCTACTCTTTTTTTGTTGTTGCTGCCCTGTCCCAAAGTTCTTTGTGCTCTACCACTTGAGTCACAGCGCCACTTTCGGTTTTCTGGTGGTTAATTGGAGATACGAGTCTCACGGACTTTTCTGCTCGGACTGGCGTTGAACCGCGATCCTCAGATCTCAGCCTCCTGAGTAGCTAGGATTACAGGCGTGAGCCCTCTAACCTTTATGGAATCAGGAGAACCAAAGAAGACCGGAACCCTCTAGTTAGTTCAACTTAGTCCGCAATTAAATCTCTCCCCCTTTTCCTCCTACAACACTTTGTTGTCATGGCAACAGTGGGCGTTACCAACTGGGCGTTCCAGTCGGCGGAAACCGGGCAAAAAGAGTACACGTCTCCAGCTCATTAACATAAGCCTTGCGCAGACGCATTAACTGTTCCTGGCTGTGGTTTGCGATTTGTGAATTCAATCTGCGTCTGCGCAGTCGTTGTCAAGCGCCTCGGTCTGTTTCTGCGCCGGCGCAAATTGGCACTCTAGGGAGGGCGGAGCTACGGACCCGGAAGTGCGCCTGCGCAATCGCTCCTACCGTTGTGGCCGACGCGTCTTCAAGGAGTTGTGGAGCGGCGCTCGAAGTCTCCCGTGTGTAGTCATGTCGGCGTCGGTAGTGTCGGTCATCTCGCGGTTCTTGGAGGAGTACTTGAGCTCCACTCCGCAGCGGCTGAAGTTGCTGGACGCGTATCTCCTGTATATCCTCCTGACCGGGGCGCTGCAGTTCGGTTACTGTCTCCTCGTGGGGACCTTCCCCTTCAACTCTTTTCTGTCGGGCTTCATCTCTTGTGTGGGAAGCTTCATTCTAGCGGGTAATGATTCAATAAGTAATCTTAATAGTGATGTACCGCGTTCTTCTCACCCTAGTCGGTGCCGGTGTATAGCAGATTGAGCCTTGTGAGGTTGGGCGAGAACCTTCGAGGTACTTTTCCTGTGATCGTACCAAACAGCTGCCTGGGAGCTGGAATCTAAGAACTGTAAGAAACCGCCTTTAGTGATGCGGTTCAGCCTCGCCTAGAAAACTCATTTCCTACTCTCAGATAGCTTTATCACCGCTTCAAAGTTGGTCGTCGCCTCCTCCCGCCTCCCTCTTGGTTGGGCACCCTGGCTCATGCCTATACTCCTAACTATTGAGAAGGCTGAGACCTGAGGACTGCTGTTCAAAGCCAGCCCAAGCAGGAAAACTTCGGAAACTCCTATCTCCAATTAACTACAAAAAAAAAAAAAAGGCCGGAAGTGGAGCTGTGGCTCAAGCGGTAGAGCACTAGCCTTGAGAAATAGCATGGGATAGCATGCAGGCCCTGAGTTCAAGCATTGGGATCTGCACACAGTCTTCGAACTGTGTAGAGCACCAGCCTTGAGAGAAAAAGCCAAGTGAGAACCTGAGGCCCTGAGTTAAAACCCCAGCACCAGCACAAAAGAAACAGGTCTTATCCATACTAAAACCACCTTGTCACATGCTGGTGGCTCACACCTACTCAGGAAGCTTAGATGTGAGGATCCTGGTTTGAAGCTAGCCTGGGAAGACAAATCTGAGAGATTATTGTCTTCAGTTAATCAGCAAAAAAAAGTTGAGGTGTGACTCAAGTGGTAGAGCACCATCCCTGAGCAAAAAAGCTAAGCTAGATCTCCAGGCTCTTGAGTTCAAATCCCATTACAGGCACAAAATAATAACAAAATTACCTTGGCTTCATTGGCCTTTAGGGTTACAGATACTTTTTTCAAAACTACATGGAAAAGAGTGGTTTTCTGAAGAGTGGACATAGACTAGTTATAGATTAATGTGATGAATATTTTTTTTTAAAGAGCAGATGGCTTGTTTATGCCAAGTTCTGTCTTGAACTTGTTGAGGCTAAAACTAAGTTGGCAGACTCCTCTCTATAATGTGAACTGCTGTTAAATGGCTTGTTTAGAAGAGAGTAGTTTAGGTGCCTGAGTAGAAGGGTTAGTTTGGAGATTGAGAGTTCCAAATCTGCTAAATAACAGGTAGTAAATAGGCCCATAGGAATAAAAGTGATTTGAGGCAGAGAAAGGATTGCTGACAATTTATTGTTGCCACAAAGGTATAATTTGCATTTCTTTTGGCAGCATACTAAATTTTGCTTTCTGTGCTAGCCCAGACTGTTCTCTGGAAATTCAATTTGGCTGGATACTTTTCTGATTATTTGGAAAGGAAATCTTGTACCTATTTTTGCTTTCTGGCTGTGTGTGTGTGTGTGTGTGTGTGTGTGTGTGTGTGTGTGTGTGTGTGTGTGTGTGTGTGTGTGTGTGTGTGTGTGTGTGTGTGTGTGTGTGTGTGTGTGTGTGTGTGTGTGTGTGTGTGTGTGTGTGTGTGTGTGTGTGTGTGTGTGTGTGTGTGTGTGTGTGTGTGTGTGTGTGTGTGTGTAGAAGGCTAGTTTGGTTCCGGAAAGGAGTTGTAGAAGATTATGTTGGAGGAATTTTTTTTTTTTTTTTTTTTGGGTCTGGTCGTGGTCCCTGAACTCTTAGCCTGGGCGCTGTCCCTCAGCTCCTCAGCTCAAGGCTAGCGCTCTACCACTTGAGCCACAGCGCCACTTCTGGCTTTTTTCTTTTTGCTTATGTGGTGCTGAGGAATCGAATCCAGGGCCTCATGCATGCAAGGCAAGCGCTTTACCACTGAGCCACCTTCCCAGCCCCTATGTTGGAGGATTTTGAAGGATTACTTAGTTCTTTGTTTTGTTTTTGTTTTATTTTTTTGGGTCTGGTCGTGGGGCCTGAACTCTGGGCCTGGGTGCTGTCCCTCAGTTCTTCAGCTCAAGGCTAGCGCTCTACCACTTGAGCCACAGCGCCACTTCCGGCTTTTTTCTTTTTTGCTTATTTTGTGCCGAGGAATGGAACCCAGGGCCTCAGGAGTGCAAGGCAAGCGCTCTTCCACTGAGCCACCTTCCCACTTATCCCGGGATAAGTTCTTTAGTCTGACTCCTTTGATTTCTTTTCAGTAGTATTGTTTCCTCTGTGTGTTAATTTAACATATGCTCTTAGTAAACTGATCAGTACATTATAACCCAATTTAGGATGTTGCACTATCCTTTTAAAGGCTAGTATTTGGGCCCAGTGGTATGAAAATAGTCTGGTTTTCCCTGTTCTCTCATGTCTGGGAAACATGATTTCAGGAGCTAGAGGTAGCAGGAGCTAGAGGTAGGAAATTGTTATGGAGGGATGTATTTGGAGGGGTGGATCAACAGTATAGTAGGCTTTGTTTCATTTTTTGTTTTTTAATTGAGATAGGGTCTCACTGTGTAACCCATACTGGCCTTGAACTCTCCATCACCTGCTATCTTCTCCAAAATGGTAGGATTATAGACAGGCTGTGCCACCAGCTCCAGCTAGTATAGTAGACTTTAAAAAAAGGACTTCAGAAGTAGAGTATTTTTCTTCTAGACAAAGCTGACTGTTTTAACTTATGGTTAGCTATTGCTAAAGGAGGACATCTGTCCCTTATTGTAGATTCTAGTGTTGGCAGCTTTTTAATTTCTTTTTTTATACCTAATCCAAAGCTCCCCCTTTTAAGTGGAAAATAGTAAGACTGTCATCAAAATAAGTCTAGCTAAAATAATCTGGCTACTACTACTGAAAAAATGTCCTTAGGCCAAGAAATCACGATTCGCCCTCCTCTCCCCTTTGTAATACTGCACACATCACATTTGCTCATCAGGTACTCTGTCATTTTAGCCACAATCCTATTCCTTTTTTGTTTCAGTTATTTTTCCAATAGCATCTGTTTTTGCTTGGGCACCAGCCTTATACTACTCTCCTCCTACCTATATGTCCTGAATAGCTGGAGATGCAGGTGTGTGCTACCTTGCTTGGCTTGGGATGGGGTCTTGCTAACTTTTTGCTGGGGGCTGGCCCAACCCATGTTTCTCCTGGTCACTGCAGGTAGCTGAAAATAATACCCAGCCCTTGAAATCAGTTTTTAAGCCACTTTACTAGTTTTGTTCCCTAAGCTATGAAATAATTTTGGCTTAAAAAAGTTTTGTTACTGGGTGTTAGTGGCCTGTAATCCTACCCACTCAGGAGGCTGAGATCTGAGGATCATAGTTCAAAGCCAGACTGGGCAGGAATGTCTGTGAGACTCTATCTCCAGTTAACTACCAGAAAACTGGAAGTGGCACTGTGGCTCAAATTGTAGAGCAATTGCCTTGAGCTGAAGAGCTCAGGGACAGCACCAAGGCCCAGAGGTCAAGCCCTATGACTGACCAAAAAAAAAAAAAAAAAAGTTTTGTTGACCTTAGTTTATAAAACCAAGAATGTGGGCTGGGAATGTGGCTTAGTGGTAGTGCGCTTGCCTAGTATGCATGAAGCCCTCGATTCGATTCTTCAGTACCACAAACAGAAAGAGCCAGAAGTGGTGCTGTGGCTCAAGTGGTAGAGTGCTAACCTTGAGCACAGAGAGGCTCAAGAACAGTGCCTAGGCCCTGAGTTTAAGCCCTAGGACTGGAAATACCCCCCCGCCCCCCAAAAAAAACAAAAAAAACAAACCGAGAATGTTTTAGTTTGCATTTTTGAAAGTCAAGAGATCTAATCCAGGGTGGTCTTTGTTTCCAGAGAGCTTTTGAGTTATGTGAGGTGTGGGATACAGCATTTCTTTTGGAATTGTCTCCTGTAACTGCTATCCAGTATGTTAGGGTGCCATCTGTGTATCTGTCCAATTTCTAGACATCTTCATATCCATTCCCACTTCTTCATCCTCAGTATCTCAGGCTAACCATATCTTACAGGGACTACTATAATTATTACTGCGCAGTTGTCTCTCCTAGTCTATTCCTGTGTTTGCAGGATGGATTTGACTTGCAAGTCTGATTGGGCCACCCTCTACATTTGTCTATGGTTCCCAAAGTACAGTTACTATGTTTTTCAGGACACATAGGTGCTTTCAGGACCTGGCTTCATCATTATCTTCAGCTACCTCTCTTATCTATACCTTCTTTCATATGCCTTCTCAAGTATGCTACTTGTAACTTCTTGAACACTGATGTGTCAAGCTATTGTGTCAGTTTTCAAAATTCGTTCTCCTCTTGGAATCTTTAGCTTAAGTGACCCCTGTGTTGGAAGTCTTTTCTGACTTTCCCAGAAGACTTAGGCCTTCTCTATTCCCACTTTACTCTATGTCTATTTTGGGGTAGGGGAAGCAGTTGTGGAACTTTCTCACTGTTCTTGTCAAGTCTGTCTCCCTTCCCTCCTGTGAGCCTTTCAGGGCAGGGGTCTCTTTCATCTCTGCATCCTCCGTGCTTAATGCTATGTGAAATTATAAGCTGGATCCTTTCCATCATTCAACATGTCCTAATGTTGTCCAATTTAAAAAATTTCCATTTGTTCTCAGGCCCTTCTAGCTGACATCCCATTTCTTCTTTCTTTCTCATTTATATTTTCTTTCCATTTATTCTTATTATTCTGTGTGGTGGTTATTCCTACCACTTCTCTGAAACTACTCTTGCTATGTTGCCAAATCTGATGATCATCCACCTCATCTTGACAGCTTGATGACATATAGTACTTCACACCATTAATTGCTTCCTTCTGAGTGAAATAATTGCTTCTTAAACTTTTCATGGCACTTTCCTTTTCCTTCTCACTTTGTTAGTTTTCCTTCTTCCTGTTTGTGCTCGGGGCTTCTCTGTCTTCATTTCTCTTAGTATTTCTTTCCATAGGTGAATTCATTTATTTTAATTAATTTTTGAGTTAGGTTTTTGTTATGAAGACGAAGTGGCCTTGACCTATGATCCTCCTGCCTCAGCTCTCAAGTGCTGGCATAGGCTACCATGCTTAGATTTTTTTTTGGGGGGGGGGTAGG